GGAGAGAGGAAGAGCTGGGGAGGGGTCTGGCCAAAGTCTCGGATTTGCGTGAGCGTCGCGGCGTAGAGGGAAGGGTCGGTTCGTTTGAGGGCCTCCAGGTCGATAGCATCGTGGTAAGTCAGGTTGAAAAATACATTGCAAGCGCCCACAGCGGGCGCGAGGGGGGGCGTTTCCCCCTCCCTCCGAGGCCGGAGGGCCGCGCTCAGGGTGGAGGAGGAGGAGGAGGGAGAGGGAAGGAAGGGCGGGCGCTGTTTATAGCCAAAGACGAGGTCGATCCAGTGGTGGAGATGAGCGCTGACAAACTCACTTTCCAACGCCTCACGATGCATGCGCACAAAATCATCCACACTCCCATGGGCCCATGGCGGAAGTTCCACGTCCCCGACTTCGTCCCCACTTTGGGTCCGGCCCAATGAGACCCGATTCACGTTCGACAAGAATTCGGGGAGGCAAAAGAATTCCGGAATGAGCTCCTTCACGTCGTTGGGGTTGGTCACACAACCCTGGTAAGCGGTGCGGAGGGAGCGGAACTGCCGGTCGGGCAAATCGAAATGTCCCGAGTGAAATTCCCGATGTAGGGAAGTGAAAGGTTCCAGGCGGAGGAGATACCAGAGGACAAACGCTGCATTCGAGTAATGGGATCCGTGGTGGAAAGGAGGGAGGGAAGACCCACTATCACCCGCGAAGCACGCCTCTCCGTATCCCTCCCGAAGGGCCGCGTAACGGTCTTGGAGCCGTTGACGGGCCGTTTCGGTCTGGGCCCCCATCGGCCATTTCAAATCCCGAAACGTGTGCGGGTCGTTCAAATTCAAAACCTCCGAGGTGTAGTCGGCCAAGATCCAGGGAAAGACGGGGTATTGCGACAAATCGTTATGAGTCCGCCCCGCCGCCGCGTTCACGCAGGCTAAGTATTCGAAATTTGAAATTTCCCGACGCACCCAGGCCTGCGTCAGAGAGTGGCCATGGGCCGTCTTGGCGTGCACCAGGAGCCGACGGGGGCTCAAGTTAAGGCGAGGAGCCAGGACGGGAGGGTGGTGGTTCTGGACGTGCTTCGACACGGAGAGCGCGGCGGCCTGGGTGTGGAAGTTAAGAAAGAGGGAGGTGTGGTCCTCGAGAAAGAGCTCCAGGGCGATGGCGTCTTGCTGTTGGTACCGGCGAGGAAAAAGAGCCAGTATAGAAGGCAAGGGGATGAGAGTGGAAGGAAAACTCTGCAAAGGCCCCGCGCGCCTCCGCCTGCGGCTGCGCAGGGTGGAAGGGAGGGAGGGCAGCGGGGCCGGACGCAGGAAGCAGAGGCCTCCATCATGCAATTGGCAGACACCCGGAGTAACCGTCAGGGGTCGAATGACCTCGCAGGGGTGCCAGCCCTGCGACACGGCCCCTCGGGCTTTTCCCATCATCCTCTCCTCGCTCCCGTCGGTCCTACCACCAGTCCCGTCGGTCACGCTGGGGGCTAAGATAGGAAATGGCGCGAAATCTTCCGGCAACGGGACCATGCTCCTGATCGCTCCGTTCCTGGGTCTTCTGACGCTTGCCTTCATCGTGGCACGCACACGCGCCCCCCGCGCATGGCCGCCTCCCGTCCTTCCCATCTCATCACTGCCTGTACCCGTGCCTGCCGCCTCCTCCCCGTCCGAGGCCATCGTATCCTTCTGTTTAACTCCATCTGTTGTCGTCACTGCCTCCCGTACCTCCTCCGAACCCCTCCTTCCCTCCTCATCGCCTCGCCCCGGCTCTTCGCCCTTGGCGGGAAGGGGAGGGAAGGCAGGTGGTGGCAGGGAATTCAAGTCCCGGCGGTCGCCCGTACGAGCCGGACCAGAGGGCTGCTCCGACCCCCCCTCTGCAAATATCCGCTGTGCGTGCTTTCCCGCCCTTATTCCCGTTTGAGATTCCACCTTTGCCTTCACCTCCTCCTGCTCCTTCCCCCCCCCTATTCCCTCGCCCTCCTCCTCCATCTCCCTCTTCCTTTCCCTCTTCCCTCCCTCTTCCTCCCCCGCTTCTTCTTCCTCCGTCTCTTCACTTCCTTCTTCTTCCTCCTCCTCCCCCCCTTCCTCTCCTTTCTCGGTACTTCGTTTCTGATAAGCCACCAACTCCTTCCAAAGCCCCCTTCCAGGCTCATCCTCCACAAACTCCGTCCCCCTTTCCAGAACCTTCCCTCCTCCTCCTTCCCTCTCCATCACCCTCTCAGGGGCACAGCTGACGTGTGGTGCCACGTTCGCCTTCTCAACGGCTTTCGCGTCCTCTTCCTCCTTCTTACCTTTTTCTGACCCCTCCACTCCCGAGGTTGGTCTGGTTTCTCTCTCATCCCTTCCCTCCTCATCACCTTTCTTGAGGTCCCCCAACCTTCTTCCCTTCTCCAGGTGCCGAAGTAGCACCGCCACCTCCACGTCCTCTTCCTCCCACCACTCCTCCCCTCCTTCTCCTTCCCCGAAAAACACCGAGGCCCATGGCCTTCGCCTTAACTTTCGGCGATTTCTCAGGCGATCCTCCGTTTCGTCCACCTCCCATACGACCACCTCGCCCTCCTCCTCCCTCCCTCCTCCTCCATCTCTCTCCACACCTCCTGCATCTCCCTCCTTTCTCCATCTCCTTTGTCGCTCTTCCCGCCACTCCCGCAAAAATTTCGTGAAAGCCTCCTGACATCCCCCACCTCCTCCCCCCCAGACCCCGCTCTCACCTCCCACGCCCTCCTCATCCATCAAAAAACACGTCCACCATCGCCACGCCCACATTTCCTCCTCCTTCCAACCGCACAATGCATTTGTTAAGGAGGCGCGACCTCGCTGACCTCGCTCTCTGAACAGCACCTCCAGACCTCCCCGTACGTCTTCATCCAAACGGAGGGAAACAGGAGGAGGGAGGGGAGAAGGAGGTGCTGACATGCCTGAGGA